TACCTGAAATTAGGTATATATACTTCAACTTTATCCCATGAAGGGGTTAATTCACAATTTACTATAGCTCAAATTTTGAGAGCTTAACATAATAGAATAATTTTTGCAAGCTGAAGTATTTAATTGGTACAATGTTATAAATTGAAGTGTTCAATAGATCAAAATAAAAGTTGAGAGTGCTATAAAGTTTTTTTGTGTAAACTATAGGATGAATTTATATATTAGGCCATTTTTGTGTAATGGTATCAAGTTCAGGGTTATCTGAGCATTATTAATATTATTATGGTAAATAATTATTTAATTCCTCAAATTTGATCATGATCACAAGTTAGAAATTCATTTTTTTTTTTTATTTGACAAATATCTTAATTGACCTTTAAAGTTAAATCCATTAACCTATTTAATCATTCCATAAAAAAACATCATTTTATAAGTTAAATATTTCATAATATTTAACTATTTAGCTCTTTATATAAAGTCTAACTATTAATTTCATGTCACAACCCGTTTCCGTGGACCGGACCGGCACTAGGACCCAGGTAAGCATAAGGCCCCCGAGGCCCGTAGTAAGCCTAATTACTCAACTATACATTCCATTACCATTTAATAGGAACAGTAGGCCCATACAAGTTAAGATATAAATGTAAATAAATGTTATACAATCCAGCCCAATTTTAATTATCTCCAATAAAATTTGTTATACAATCCAGCCCAATTTTAATTATCTCCAATAAAATTTAGTTCGGGTCTAGTCATTATCAATCACGTTCATAATATGGGCATACTGATTCTCCTGTGTCTCATAATACAACCAACCGTTTATAAAACAATGCATACGACAAGGCCCAATTGGAAATACACAACCCTAGAACTGCGGAGTTCAATAATATTCTGATAATAGAATAATTTATACATCCAAAATTAAATAACAGAAATATAAAGTTTACATTTATAACTCTGCTTACAGAGCTTCAGTTGAATCCGCTGCTTCCTAGTACCTGAGAGGTTTATTGGGGGGTGAGTTTTGCAACTCAGTGAATAATAATAAATAATACACTAAATAATACACCACATACACTCAAGCAAAATGCACCCTAGTATACTGAATGAACACACAACAGTCAATCATATGGCATCACATCAGCACCCACAAACAATATTACTTTCAAATAATCACAATCACGTGGAAATTAGTCAGTGGAGTACCGAACCCCGATGAAGCCCGTTTCCTCCCACATGTCTTTCAATCCTCTACATGTGCACAGGAGCCGATCCCATATGGCCGACGGTCTAAATTCTCACTTGAACGCATTGCCCTCTCATTGTTTTTTTCTATCCCTCTCCTTTTTCCCTTTTCATTACACGGAGGCAACGTCGGGCACCCGGTGGTCTCCTCCATCCAATCTAGATCATCAAGCGCGTACAACAGGAGGCCACCCTGTGGGCTGCAATCAAATCTAGATTTTCAGGTGCGCAACAACAAGCGGCCATCCTGTGGTTTCAGAATAAACAGAATTATCAAGTGCACACGGGGGCGCCGATCTCCCATTTACCCGGCTAACAGAAACAGAATCAGGATCCATATAACAGAATCAGAATATAACGGAAATCAGAATCAGGATCCATATAACAGAAACAGTCTCATAAACCCATGGTGACCCACTTCATCCCAATTCCACACAAGCAAAGCACAGCAATATCACAACACAACTAATCAAACATTGCAATCGAATGCATTCAACGTATTACCCAAATCCCTCCAAATATTCAATTATACCATAAATAGGTTTTGTAAACAAAAATGCTATGCAAAATGCAGTGTTGATCTGCATATTTATTATTTACTCAACAGTGATGGACGAAGCGAAGTTTCTGGAGAGCGAAGTTCTAGCTTTGATTCTGTCTTGGAGGAGCACTAGATGGACCCGGGCGATCTAAGAAATTTAAGAATGACACAAAACAAAAGTAACTATATTAGATAAAGTATTTCTTTACCACTCTTAGAATTTTATTTTATACTCTTAATTTTTCTACGTAATCTAATCTCGATATTAATTTCTTTTCTGTAATAAATTTTATTTCTCTACCGAGCTCTATTTTATTTATTTTCTTCTGAAATCTATTTTATTTTCTATTATTTTCTATTCTCTATAAATAATTAAATTTCTATAATGAATTTTATTTGCTACCGAAATTCATTTTATTTTCTACCGAAATTCATTTTATTTTCTACCGAAATTTCGGCAGCATCTCTCCTAAAAATTAGATTCTCCACCTATTAAAATATCAACAATTTATCTAATAACTCTAAACCACACAGCCATCCATCGGGCATCAATCAATTCAATTTCTCCTCCTCCATCCGAATATCAACTATCACATTACCTTTAATTCTCAATTCTTATTTCATTCCATTCATGATATTATATCAAAAATTCCTCAATAAATTAATCAAAGGACTTTTAAGTGTATCAACATTTTATTATAAAATCAATACTGAAAATTAAATTAACTTTAATTTTTAAGCACTCACATACTATTAAAATTAACTAAACTAATAACTACAATAATAAAATTAATTTAAGTAACTAAAATTATTAGCATTAATTTTATTACCCCAAAATATAATCTTTTGTCAAATTTTCGCTAGATCGGAAGTTTTTACGCGTGCCGGATCGAAGGGCAGTAACTGCCTGTGGCCGGATCCACTAACAGTGGCGGAGAGAGGCGGAGAGAGGCAGAGGAGCGGCTGGCAGCGAGGCTTGAAGCTGGTGCTGCTGCTGTAGGGGCAACAGACCTGACAGAGGGCCTGACTGTGTGATCTGGTGGCGCTGCGTGAGCTAGGACGAGGCGGGACGAGCGACAGAGCTGCTCCGGTGACGCTGCTCCGGTGACCGAGCGGCAGTGAGACGGCGGTGGCGCTCGACTGGAGCTGCTGGAAAAAGCTGCTGGAGTATCTATACATGATGGCGACGCAGGTGCATCAAACAGGGGGAAAAGAAAGGAAAGGAAAGAAAGAAGAAAAAAGGAAAGAAAAAGAAGAAAGAAGAAGAAGAGAGCAGGGGTGGCGTCGGCGGTGGTGGCAGTGACAGTTTGGTGGACTGGAGGTGGCCGCAGAAAATGGCGGGGGAGGGTGAAGTTGCCGCTGGATATAGAGGGGGAGAGGCTTCTAGAAGTGGTTTGGGCTGATTCGGTTCGATTTCGTTTCGATTCGGCCAAATCTTGATTTTGATTCGGCCCAAATCTTGATTTTTGTTTAATTTTTCGATTTTTAATTGATTTTCGATTCGGTTTATCACTGTATAAATTATTAATTCACATTTAAATATCTAAATATATTTTCCACGCTGTCAGTTTATTAAATTTAAATTAAAAATCTTTAAAAATAAAAATTTGGTTATTTCATTTCACTTCCAAAATTTTCAAATAGTTACCGTTTGCCTGTAAATCAACCTTCATATTTTAAGTATTTTGAACTTATCAATTTAGTTGTAATTACACCTTAATTTATTTTTAGGCTACAATTGCATAAGCAAATTAAGGTGATAAAAGCCAATGTAAAACACCCATTTTAAATTAGAAGAGAAATAAGTGCTAAACCAAAGTTCCAAACAATAAACAAGATAATTAAAGTCAAATATTCATATAATAAATAAGAAAATCAAGAATAGGCTTTTGATTTTAAAATTTAACTAATCTTAAGGTGCAAAAATTATGAATTTGACACTAATTTAAGGTTATTCTTCCTAGCACAATAATAACGAATATGGTGATTTTTTTGCTATTATCGTTGATCTCTGTTTAATTTCCTAGAAGGAGAGAGTTACTGATTTGAAGGAAAAAATAAACAAAATGATTAATTCTCTCTTTCAATTCAAGCAGTATATTTTAAATTTAAACTATGTTTGGATTAATATGGAGTTCGTTTTTACATTATTTTAATCAAAATCTCAACCTTAATTTATTTTAGGATGTAATTACAACAAATTGATAAGTTTAAGTATCCTAATTTATAAGTAAATTAAAATGTAATTACAATTAAATTAATAAATTCAAAGTGCCTTGAGTACAAAGGTTAATGTAAGTTGAAGTCGCAGTTAAAAAAGTTCAAGGTAATGATGGTTAAGCCTTTCATTTAATATAATATATATTTTTTTTTTGGATGCATGAGAAGCTCAATTGACTAGAATAATATTATGGACTATACAATAGGGGTAGCTTTTCCCTTTGAATACCATTGACTAAATTAGTGATAACTTTTATAGTGGGATGACTCGAACTCGAAATCTCTTACTTTCTATATCTTTTATAAAAGATAAGAAAAATATAGTTTTACTATTTAGTCTCTCAAATTTATTATTCAATAATTTTTTAGTGACTTACCTAAAGGTAACAAGGTAACTTTGAACACAAAACTAAATATTCGAACTAAGGATGGAAGCGAGCGAGTATCTACGAATTTAAAGCTAACCGTATTCATGTCAATTTAAAATTTTATTATCTATATATGTTCCAAACCCGTTTAAATATTCATATTTGTATTTATATTCAAACTCATTTAAATTTTTACTATCCATATCCGTCCAAAACCCGTTTGAAGTATCTATATATGGATAGGTTATCACTCGTTTGAAATAAAAGTTTTATTAATAATGGATAGCATACTCTTAAGTACCAACTGCCAAATTTGTTTAATATAATAGGTAATTGATACTCAAAGATTTATATGTGTATCTATTACGGGTAGTAATTTTACTATTTATATCCATCCTAAATTTATTTATAATTATTCATCTTATATTTAAACGTATCAGAGCGGAGCGAAAACCTTAAAATACCCACACCACTTCCATCCCTAATTCCAACAAAGTTGAATTTTAAGTTGTAAGGACTAATCATTGTATTTACCGAATAAGAGTGGCAAAATCATAATTATGAGTAAACAATTTATTTACGCTTATTATTATATAAAATTATAAGGGCCTATACGTAATTTAAAAGAAAATGGGATAGGATAAGCCCATTGCCCAAAGTGCCCATCTTGAAAGACAGAGCTCTTAGCTCTTGCTCTCATTTCACAACAATGGCTTCCTCTTCTACAACTCTCTCTCTCTGCTCTTCTCTCACAATTCAATGCAGGATATCTCATAATCAAAATCCGCAATTTTTTTCTAGAACACTTTCTCTCTCGAAGCCTAACTCTGTGTCCCTCTTCAAAACCCATAGTCTTGCTTCTCCTCCTCCTTTCCTCTCTACAAGACTCTCATTTTTACCCACTTTAAAATCCTCTGAATCCGAAGCTCCCGTCCTTGAGGTCGAAGCTGAGGCACCTGAATCTGGGCCTGAACCTGAACCCGAAAACGAACCCGGTCCCATTGTTGATGTTACCAAGGAAGAGCCCAAGGGCGAGGACGTTTTTGCTGTCGTTATGGTGAATAAAGTTATTTCATTTTTGCTTGTATGGAATTCGAAGCATAACATATTTTCTGAAGTTTTTTTTTTTGGCTTAGATTGGTGGCCGTCAGTACATTGTAATTCCAGGGCGATATATTTATGTTCAAAGGCTGAAAGGTGCAAATGTCAATGATAAGGTACAACTTCTTTTTTTTTTTTTTTTTTTTTTTTTTTTTTTGCTTGCGTGTTGATTAGAGCATGTTATGCTTTTTGCAAATTTTGATGATACTCATGGAGTAGAATTGTTGTGTTGGGCGGTGGTGGTTTATTTTTTTTTTTTTTTTTTTTTTTTGCTTGCGTGTTGATTAGAGATTGTTATGCTTTTTGCAATTTTGATGATACTCATGGAGTAGAATTGTTGTGTTGCGGTGGTGTTTATTTTTGATTGGTGAAGGAGATCCTATTTGCGATAGTAGTAACAATGTCTTCACTTTTACTTGGAATGTTGCTTCTATTGATGCCATAATTCTGATTATTCCTGTAAATTATAAGATGGAAGTTATTCTAAGACTGAAGGGTCATCTACCAGCCATTTTATGTGCATATAGTTGGTTTATTGCACTTACAAAAGCTGTTTGGAGAGGAATGGTTTTTTCAGATCATCATGAAAATGAAGTACCATTTAGAATGTGCTTTTGTAGATGCAGTATGTATCATTGGCTAGAAAGGCACTGAAGAACCTATGATCAAAAGTATTCCACTTGAGTGATATGATGCTATGTAAAACTGTCATCTTTTTCTGTGTCTATGGTGATGGGAAATCCAGGTATTGGATAACTTGAAGAGATTTGAATTTTTTGGGCTTTTTTCTTAATTGGAAACATATGGTAAGAGTGTGCACTCTGTTTCAAAAGGTTGGTACTGATCAGAACTAATAATATGAGTTGATTATCATGAAATATTTCTCAATTTCCGTGCTACTAGCTCAATGTGTTTTATTAGATTTTCTTTGGCCTGCACTTCTGCATCTTCAGAAATTTGCATCTTCAGAAGAGGTAAATTTAACAAAAGTTAGATTCATAGACATAATGGTGCATCTGTCTCTATGTGATACTGTACCAAGTATACCATTCAATTCTAGCTCATTTATACCTGGGACCAGTGCCAACACTCACTTGGGAGATTTTTACCAGTATTTTTGCTAAAGTATGACATGGTTTTTGTCTTCATAGTCTATTAGTAATATCCTAGTTTCCTTCAACTTTGTACATATATGATGCCTACTTTTCTTTTTAATAGAACTTTTTTTCTTCCTGTTGCTATTGGAAGAAAAAATTATTTGAGCCACTACTTTTCCTTAAAATTCCCTGTTTATTTGTTAAAGAAATAACAGATAAAATTTGAACTCAACTAGCCTTCCTGTAGATCAAGGTATGAGATTAAAAAACACCATCATAATGATATTTAAAAGGTGTGACATCAGCTTCAAGGATTAGGGGGCATTTTTTGATATTGTGCTAACAGTCTTGGGCATGCAACCACAAAATGTGATGGTTTGCATCTTGAGGGCACTGTTTTCATGTGAAAATGATTTGGGACAGGTCTAATTCTAAATTCTACTTGAGAATCCACTTACATTACTAGTCCATGCCCTTCCATTAGCAGCAAAGGCTGGCTCCAAAATGCTGAAATTCACAGTAATTCTCATTCTACCTTTGTGAACCACAAAGACAGACAGAGAAAAGAGAGTGAAGCCTGATCGACTTTTCAGTTGATCAATGTTACACAAATTTTATTTCTTGTAGTTCTTATTTCTATTACTAATATTATTATTTTTAAACTTGATGTTGCCGTGTTAAGGTTCACAGAATAATGATATTTGTGATCATGCCATTTTCTAATCAGAAAGTCCTCCCAGTTTTTACTCAACTTGCAATTTCCTCAATGAAAATGTTTAGCTTGTGGGTTCTTGTGTAGGTCACTTTGAACAAGGTGTTACTTGTTGGAACAAGAACGAGCACCTACATTGGAAAACCTGTGGTAACTAATGCTGTTGTTCATGCTTTAGTCGAAGAGCAGGTATTCACTACTTGTCTTGAATTATTTCTTGCTAATTGCTTTCAATTTCATTTTTGTCATGTCTTTACTTGGCTCTCATGTATTCCTGTTGCAGGGATTAAATCCCAAAGTTGTTGTCTTCAAGTATAAGAAGAAGAAAAACTATCGGAGAAATATTGGCCACCGACAGGTATCATTATTTTTGCTGTTATCATTACTTTTTGAAGTGATGGCATTTTACTGGCCTAGTAGCTTCAACAAAAAAAGTTTTCACAAGTCGATGAGTGTATTTCAGTTGCCTTGTAAAATGGACAATACTTTTGATATGTGAATTTGAACAAGTCTTTGTGGTTATCCCTTTGCGCATAAGTTCTTTTCACTTGGTAAAAAGAATGATGATAGACGGTCGTTCCTTGACCCTGACAAAGAGGGGGAATCTTGTTCCTTTGAAATGCTTTCTATACCAGATGATGGCCTCTGTATATCTTGAAAAGATTGATAGTGCAAATTACATGAAACAAGATCTACACATTTGTTTCTTTTGTCTAGTCTCATTATGGATGAAATCTCCTTTTTGATATTTTTACATGGTTACAACTTTTATGCAGCCAAATTCGCGAATAAGGATCACAGGCATTACAGGCTATCAAGACTATCCAGCAGTCACACTTGACTCTTAAAAGATTCTTCAGGGAGTTTTTGGAGTCTACTTAAAGATCCCATTCAATATTTTTGGAAGTTTCTCTTTTCATTTTGTATGTAATTTCCTTTATATAGTGGCAGTGTTTTAGATTTAATTAAGGATTCTAATGATAAACTGTGAAAATTAGGTGCAGAAGAATTTTACTTGTAGGGTATTTGTGGTCTGTTCGGTGGTAAGCTTAGTTATTGTTGTATTCTTGGTCTCTATAAATTAATGAATTGCCATTTTGTTCTATTGATTTATTGTCTTCCTTTGAAACGAAAATTAGAAAAAGAAAAAGACACAAGCTGGGTATTTATTTAGTCATCATTACTGTTATAAAACAATAATGTCCTCCAACAGTATACGTATATACATATATTTGGTGCCAAAAAAAGAGAATTCACAAACAAAATAAAGATCATCTGAGACGGGATTTGCAGATTATCTAGACAACAAATAGAGTTGTTGGAGATAAAATAGAAAAGAGTAACTGCTGAATGGATAAATTCACTCTTAAAACTTAACTTTGTTATATTTTCAAGTTTTATTTTAATACATTAAACACTTTAATTTATAAAATTAACCTATTAAACACTTTAATTTTAATATGATTTTATTGAAAACTTTAATTTGTAAAATTAAATTAATTAAACACTAATTAAAAAGTTGAAATGTGCGAAAAATTATTGTTCTAAAAGTCATACCAAATATATATCAAGTCAATACTTTAAACTTTAAAGGTGTGTAATGTTACTAAAATTAACGAATGTGAGTGCACTTGCATGATAAGTCATCCGCAAAGTTCAGAGTGCTACAAGATTAAAATTGTAAAGTTCAAAGTGCTAGAAGGTTAAAGTTATAAAGTTTAGGAATGAATTTATGTATTCATTCAAAGAGTAACAGTTGTATAAGCCATTCCAACTCATCAAATAAGACAATTCACAGCAACAGTAGTCATTCAGATAAACAAATTAGCTGAATCCAAAAGGAAACAGAAGGTATTAATGCTGTTATTTGAATAATACAACACTATAGTTGTTACAAGATATTGACAGCAACACCATCTAGCAATGCTGTCAAAAAAGAGTATTAAGAAATCTTCCTAGAGGATTTCTGGTTCTGGCTCCCAACTATCTAAATAATCCATATTGGGAGATCATTGAATAAATATGTTATACTAGCAAAAAAGAAAGAGAGAAAAAAAGACTTTTTATATCTATTTTCATTTGTGGGTCACATGGGAGAAGTAATCAACCCGTGGGTATCACAACAGACCGTTGGCAGAATACTGCTTTGGTTCTATTCTTCCTCAGATCCTTTAATTAACTTAAAGGTCGAGAGATCTTTCCTTACGCTGCCGGATAAGAGAGGTCTCACCAACAGGAACTTTACTCGTATATTCGTTTTCTTTTTAGGAGAGTGGGGAATATAATGATGGAGCCAATGAGGAAGAGCACAGACAGAGTTTTAAAATCATAAAGATCCTTGACTGACTTTAGATCCCCAAGAGCAAGACCAGCCTGATGATAATATGGTAGCAACAGCAACAACAGTGTAATTATTAGTAAAATGACACGCAGAATAAAGCAAATGAATTAATTAACAAAACCGAACAAACTATCCAACCCTTTGAATAAATATTTATGTGTGCCCATGTCACAAATGCTGAGCTTTATCAAGTAATCATCCATGTGATTAAGGAAATCTTTCCAAAGTGCTGTTAACTATTGCCATTAAAAGCACTGGTATGGAATGCTTCTAGTCAAGCTCTAACACTTCCACCAACTTGGCCCCGATGTCAAAAATAATGAACACAAGAAATCAACTAAATCACACAGCTAATTTCTTTTACACACGACAGAATAAAAAATTCAAGATTGACTGAGCATTAAGACAATGTAAAATATCGAGATGCAACTAATGTCTCTGTGCAAAAGTAGCTCTGAGCATGTGAGGATCTAAGCACACAATTTATTAAGTATAGAATGTCAATTGTCACGCTTTTCTCATAGTTTACACGAAGCCCTTGTATTTCAACTGTCCAAGGAAAAAATGAAAGACTTATTAAATAAGAAAACCAAGTTATTTATTTGTTTCCAGGAATCTATTTGACCAATAGAACTATAAAGTGTGCAAAGTATACACTCGGTAGTGAAAAAGCTTAGTACATTACTCTGAATGCTTAATATGGTCCTTGAATATGATATATTACACGTAGCTGAACTTTTTCCTTCATGCAGGAAAATAAGAAACGAGAGAACACATATATAAACTCTTAAGTTCCAAATAAACATGAAATCCAATTATCAGGGGCACACTTTTAGAAAAAAGGACAAAATGAAAATAGATATACTCTAAACCAAAACAACAAATCTGCACCTCAAATAAAAGAGAAATTTTAGCAGATCATATAAATGAAAAGACCTATAAGATGAAGGAGCATGAACATCAATCCAAGAATTGGATTTTATTTTCAATTCTCCACAAATATAATTGCTACAAATAGGATATTTCTTAGGAGGTTTCATTACTTGGGTTTACCTTTTATTAATAGCATTCATTATAGCAGGTAATGAAACAGTTCGTCATCTTATATGGTAAAGTCCACGACAAACTCAAGAAAATGGATTTTAATTCATAGAAATCACTATCAAGTGGATCTTAAAATATATTTGTAATGTCATACTAACATGAATAGGAAGTAAACAAACTGTACCTATCAAATATCTAATATTAGATGTGCAAGGAATTTTCTAATGCCACTCGTAACTGAACACTCTTAATTCAAATCTCCAACAAAATGAACTATGAGATGCACCAAAAGTTTGGTCACAAATAAACGAACATATAAAATAATAATCATTGACTAAATTTTTATATAAGCGCACATGTGAAATATGGAGCAAACGATAATTCCACAATAACATCAGAGTTGCAACATTACTTTTGAAAAAACAAACATAATTCAAAGAGATTCAGCAACCACCAAAACATCCAAATGGAAAGAAATGGAAAACATTCAAAGGAGAAGTGAACTTATTTCGATACAGATAGATGCTTACCCTGACAGTAATGTAGGAGGCTGGAATAAGTCCAAGAAAAGTAGCCAAAAAGAAAACATGAAATGGTATGTCAACAATTGGAGATGCCAAATTGATGAAAAGGTTGGGCAATGTTGGAGTTACTCTCAGAAAGAGCATGTAATTCAGCAACTTTTCCCTGCGCTTTGCTATCTGAATTTAATTAGACATAAATCAGCATTAATATATATTGGTATGATCAATAGAAACACATAGAAGAGAATCACTTCAGTAAAGTTTGTTAATGTAAAAGACTTGAGGAGGAAATAATACCTCAGATTGAAAAACCCTCAATTTATCAGGCCACAACCAATTAACTATAGGCCTGCCAATCAGCTTGGACAAGAAAAAGCAAGAAGAGGCTCCAGCTGTGGCATTGAAGACAACTAAGAGAAGCCCTCTAATAACTCCAAAAAGAGCTCCAGCAAGCAATGACATGAAAATTGTTCCAGGAATCATAAAAGTCTGCATGAAGATATAAGTAGAGCAGTAACCCAGGATGAACTGTGCAGGGTAATCTTTTGCATAGGTTGCAAGATTGTCTCTGAACAAATAGAGAGAAATGTTTGTTCAGGAGAAAGCAGAATGCAGTTGGAATAAGAATATAAATGAACTAATAGTCAAAATAATTTGTTATTAAACAGTTGAATGATTTTATAAAAAAACAAAAAAAAAACTACAGAAGGAAGAATTTTTTCATGTGCCCCACCCACTCAGAAGGTCAAAACTAAAACCAGTGCACATACAGGCATCGCATTAGATATCTAGGTGAACTTAAGAATTCAACAGGCCTCCAATTTCAGGCTAATAAAAATAACCTTCCTAAGAAACAAAAAAACAACAACTAAGCCTTAATCCTAAACCATGTAACCATCACCACTCAATGCATATGTTTCTGTACAGAAGTTAATTGCAACTTCTATCCAAAACTCAACTACGACCTATCATAAGCTATTGTTTCAGAAAATAATACAAATTTCTAACAGTTAGGTACTCTCGAGATCACCAAACACAGTACCATTTCACCCAATGACAATACATCACAAAATGTTGAAGATTTCTTCCTGAAAATAACATATGCTTACCCTTTTTCACTAAAATCCTAAAGTTAAAGTCAGTAAACATAAAACCCAGAAGGACAGAGTAATCAAATCCAATTCTAAATCTCAACAAAGCAACCACAGAAGTACTTTCTCATGTGATTATTAGCAAAATCCTCATTCTCAGTACTTGAACTCTAATGCAAAATATCTTCCATGCTCGGTCCCATATTTTACCATAACCCCTGATGGTATGGTCAACCCTTCATGTAAACCAACATATTTTCGGCATAACCCAGAAGAGAATCCAAGAAAATATGTTCCAAACAAATTATCTTTCAACCAGTATTTCAGTTGAAACTTCACATATCACAACCTTAAATAAAAGCACCCAACAATCAAAACTAAATATTCCACAAATCCCACAAGAAAACTAAGGCAAGAAGATCCACATCTCAGCCTGCCATTTCACAAGTCAAAAAGCCAAACAAACCCATTTTTCTTCCCAAAAAATTGATATTAAAAAAAATAAAAGAAGACGGAGAAAAAAGCATACTTGAGCAAGCGAAGATCTGAAACGGTGCGAGGCAACTTAAGATTGGAGTAAACAGAAGTGGGCATTGTCAAGTAGCTGCAGAATAAACCGGTGGAGAAGACAAAAAAGACACCAAAAGCGGCAGCGAATTCCCATCTTGTAAAAGGAAACTTCTCCAACTTGGGCTTCTTAGCGGAAGGCGAATCATCCTCTTTCGCCTTTTCTTCGTCTCTCATTGTCGTTGGCCGGTTGCCTCCCGTTTCTCCGATCAGATTCCTCGCCGATGCCATCAAACTCTAACAACTAAATCAAATTCTCTGTTTTTGCATAGCTCATCAATAATGGCAGCAATCATTCTTTGCAATTGGACCCATTTTTTGTTTCAGTTTGCTTTCAAAAAACACAAATTACAAACAAAGACTTGATAAAGAAATTAAATCTGTAATAAAATTTGGGTTTTTCTTATTTTTTGAAATTATAAACCCTAGAGCAAGAAGAGGAGAAGACAGGAGACCAGCTTTGATGAGGAGGGAGACATTAGAACTGGCAAAAGAAGACTTTTCTTTTGGCACATAAATCAAAAAGAAAAAATTAAATTTATATGTTTTCTGGTTAAGTAACGATTTTGGAGAAGGAGCTTTTAGATGCTAATAACGTGGGGTGCTAAATTTACTCTTTTGACAATATTTACGTATTTCTTTTTGTTTGTCCTAAAAACATACTATCATTGATTCTTTATTGAAATTATTTGGAAATTCTTGTTTGGTTTTATTGTCTGAATTTCTTTTTTCTTTTTCGCATATGTGTCTCCACTTCACACCTTCAGATAGAAATAAATTATTTTTTGGACATGCAATCTATTTCTTCGAATTGAATTAGTTTGTTTTGATTTAATTTTTTCAATTTAAGTTTCAAATAAAAAAATTTTTCATTCTTGTTTTTTCGTTTAGCTTAACAAATAAATTCAAATCCAATTAAAAATAGTAAAAAGTGAATTAATCGAATTGAATTAAATAAATTTAATTGATTTTTATATTTTATTTAATTTGATTTGATTTATATTTTAAAAATTTTAGATTTATTTGACGACCAATTGTTATATATGGGATTAAAATATCTAAAAATGAATTGCCAAGATAGTTACATTTTATTTAAAACAGTTATAAGTATTATAAACTTAGAAGTATTATTTAGGGGCCTACTATTTTTAGTATATTGAACTTAATATAGAATTCTAAATAAGACCTGCAATTCCTTCAAAAAAAAAAAAAAAAAAATATTTAAAACAGTTATACAGTTATTATAAACTTAGAAAGTATTATTTAGGGGCCTGATCTATTTTTAGTTAATATTGAACCTTAATATAGAATTCTAAATAAGACCTGCAATTCCTGTCAAAAAAAAAAAAAAAAAGACCGAAATTCACTCCATTTAATAAAATTATTATTGATCAATTAGGTGAGAGCTAGTTAGAGTGAGGTTTATTAAGTTCGAATCCACTCAACTACAAGTGTTTTTATTAATTTGATGAATCTAAATGGGGTGAGCATTCGGTCAGCCCAATTCGGTTTAATTTGATTAAATTCAATTAATTTGGTTTCGGTGATAAATTATTCCGGGTAAGAAAATTAAAATTTTCTGTGATTGATTTAAAAAGTTATTTAACCAAATTAAATGCGACCTTTTAAAACTACATTCATTTTGATTAAGTAGATAATAAAAATTAAAAAAATAAAAAATTTCATTTTTATCTTGATTAATGAGTGAATTAAATAATTTCGATTAAAGTCGGTTATAATAAATTTCAGTTAAATTTGATCCGGTTAAATTAAGTTTTTATTTTCTTTGAACTCGGTTCGGTTAATGATGCAAAAATTAATTTGGCTAAAACATGTAGAAAAATTAAAATTCAGTTAAATTCGGTTCAGTCAGCATCGGGCGTCCGAATAAATAAGATGATAAAATTATTATTATTATTATTTGTCATGCGACCCGTTTCCCGTGGGCCGGACCGGCACTAGGGGCCCAGGTAAAGCTTAGGCCCCCGAGGCCCGTAGTAAGCCTAAAATTATTCATCTGTCTTACATGATTCTCTCCTAAATTTCAACAAAACATAAGCCCCATAATGACTTAAGAATATAAGTTTTATAAAATTTTCAAACATCTGGCCAATATCAATAATACATAAAATTTTAAGCCAGGGCCTATTCCACAATAACTCATAATTACAATAAGGGCTTACTAGTTTACCTACGTTAATTGCACAATAATTAATTTATAGCGTAAGTGCTAACAATAAGGCCCAATTTAAATACACAGCCCTAGTAACTGCGGAGTCCAAAAAAAATCTGATAAAAGATAATTTATAATTTCAAAAATTAAAATAATGCAAGAATATTAAAGTTTTACATTTATAAGCTCTGCGGGGGGGAAGATTGGTAAGAAGCTTCAGTCGGATCAACTGCTTCCTAGGTACCTGGGGAGGTTTGGAGAAGAAGGGGTGAGTTTTTTGCAAACTCAGTGAATAATAATAAATAATACACACACATACAGTCAAGCAAAATGCAACCTAGTAATACTGATGAAAACATCACAACAAGTCAACCATATGACATTACAAAATCAAGCACCCACAAACAATATCACCGTTCAATAAATCACATCACGTGGGAAATTAGTCAGTGGAGTCACCGAAACCCGATGAGCCGTCCCTCCCATGGCTCATCCTCTCACAATGTGCACCAGGGAGCCGATCCCCATACTGGCCCGACCGGTCTAAATCCTCACTTGCCAGCCCTCTCATTCATTGTTTTTCCATTCTCGTCTTTTCCTTTTTTCATAACCAACAGGAGGTAACCCGGTCGTCCTTCCATCAAATCTAGAGTTCATCAGGCGATCACAACAAGAGGCCACCCTGCGGGCTGCGATCAGAATCTAGATTATCAGGTGCGCCCAATTAAAGAAACCAACCTGTGGTTTTTCCATATCACAGCTAAAGATCATAGCAGTAGGGTGCACCCGGGGGCGCCGATCTCCCATTTAACCCGGCTAACAGTAATCATATTGGATCCATAAGTAACGGTAGTCGCGGTCTCACAGTCCCTGGTGACCACTTCATTCCCAATTCCACACAAACAATCACAATATATGCACAACACAATTAATTCAACATATTCTTTTCAATGTATGCACTAAATAACATCAAAATATACAATTATGTCAACATAAAATAAATATGAGCTTTAATATAAAAATATATATTATGTATATATAATAAGGTTTGTAAAAAAAATGCTATGGCAAAAATGCATGTTGAATATGCATTTAATTTATTATTACTACAGCGTGTGGTGGAAGCTGAAATTCTAGCTTTGATTCTGTCGCTGGAGGAGGCACTAGATGGACCCGAGCGATCTAGGAAAAAATTTAAAAGAATGACACCAGAAATATACTTATATATCAGATACAAATATTTATTTACTCGCTTTAAATAATTTTTTTCTATTCTTACTTTTTTTATACTTAATTTAATTATTCTAACATTAAATTATCTTTTTTGACATAACTTTATTCTTATTCTTATTCTTATTATTATTTATCTATTTTTATTTTATTTTATCTACACTCTAGTTTATTTATTTTCTTCTAAACCGAAATTTATTTTTTTTTATACCAATTATTTTATTTTCCTACACCGAAATTTCGGCATCCATCTCCCTTTAAAATTTGAACTATCTACCTATAAAATAATCATAATTTCACAAATATTCAATCCATCTTACCGGCCCATCCGTCGGGCAATTAATCAAACAACATTTTCCCATTCCTCCTCCAATCTCAACATCACCACACAATCCAAATTATACATTACAATAAGCATTAATATTTAAAACTACTCTTAATTTAAATCAATACTAAAATATAAAACATGTTAACTACTCACAATTATCAAATTAAATTAAACCAATTACTTAACTACAATAATAAAATTAATTTAATTAACTAGCATTACTAACATTACTTAACTAAACTAATTGACTACAAGTAATAATTTAATTTCATTAACTAATATTACTAAAGTTAAATTAACTTCAAATAATAAAATTAATTTTAATTAACTAATTATTTAACTAACATTGAACTAAATGACTAAAATTTATTAAAAATTAAACTAAACTAAACTAAATCAAAATTAAACTAAATAAATTCCAAGAACACTAACTTAACGTAAAAATAAAATTCCTACAAACAATTAATTTTCAATTCACTAAAACTAAAAATTATACCTCATATATTGTTTTTGCCCAGGAATTCGATTAAACCGGAAATGGGGCTGGTGCCGGAGGTCGACTGGCGGTGTGGAGAGAGGCGGTGAGGGCTGGGTGGCGTGCAGTGGATCTTGCTTGTCTCTCGCCAAGTCCACAGAGATAGACGCAGGGAGAAAGAAAGAAAGAAAAGAAAAGAAAAGAAAGTTAAGAAAGAAAGAAGAAAAGGAAAGAAAGGTAGGAGGTGGTGGTGGTGGCGGTGGTGGGCTGGAGGTGGCGCAGAAATGGTGGGTGAGAATGAAGGTGGCCAGCGTTGGATATATATAAAAAAGGAAATTTTCTAATGTTTTGGGGTCAAACCGGTTCGGTTCGATTCCGATTCAGCCCAAATTCATCGATTTTTAACTTGGTTTTTCAAGCTTTTTCAATCGATTTTCGTTATCCGGTTCTCACAGTATTCGCACTAAAATATTAATATTAATTTACAGGCTGTCGGTTCATTAAATTTTAATTGGAAAATTTTGAAAAATAATTCGGGTTGTTTCAGTCTTCTCCCTTAAAAAAAAATTCGTCCTCGATTTTAAAGCTTAACAAGAAACTACGATGTTCAACAGTTGTTTACTAAGCAATGGTGGTTGTGCTTCTCAACATAATGCTTCAAACTGCTAAAAGTTTATGACAATTCCAACACTCAGGAGAATACTTGTTCTGAATGAACAGTTAGATATCTACCTTATCAACTATAGTTAATTTAAATTTTGAGTTTGTAGTTATATCTACAAGTCGTCAAAATAAAATAAACCTATTCATAACCCAAGGCACAGATTTCGACACTAGTATTCACCTTTACCGCGTAAGAAATTTAAAATTCCTTCCATAACCTCTGCTTAAGTAAGGGTTTATTAAACTCAATTAGCTTATATATCATGTGTCCTAACATTCGGGATGTAGTCGCCTCTTTAATCTCTCACTAGCTATTTAAGGCCCAATGATCATTCATTCCATAAGAAGCTCAATACCAAATCAAGTATTTAATCTTACTGATACACAGAATCCACAGTATTCAAATCAAATTTACTAACTATCCAATTTGGAACTCCTTATTTTAAAATTTCAAAACCTACATGCCGACTCAATCATTTTCCATCAAATTCCAAATTCCATATAATTTGCCCTCATATCATTGGGAAGTTGTTCATAATAATAAAGATGATTGCTGCCAACTCAAGAAAGTTTTTCGATTATTATCAAATTTTGCCAATTAAGCTTGTAACATCCTTCCGGTCCACCGTAAACCCGAATAAACCGAGTCCGTAGACGTTAGAAAAAACAAAACTGGTTGACTGTATGGCCTGACATGCTGAAATCATAAATGTATGTTGGAAAATATAATAGCA